CCTTTTTTTTTTTTTTTTTTTTTTTTTCTTTTTTTTAAATAAACTCCACTGTGCAAAACTGTGCATTGTCTTTGGTATCCATTTAGGTAGTTTTAACTTAGTACTTTTTCTATGTATATATATATATATAATTTTTCTTTTAGACGGAGAATTAAATTCTCCCCCCAAAAATTATAATTTTGCTGGAGGCTACTGATCGGCCTGATATTACATAATGCCCCTTATGTAACTGGAAAGAGAGAAATCGATTCTAGCTGTCAAACTACTGGCCTCAAAAGGAGTTTAGACTTCCTGGCAACATCGGCCTCTCTGAAGCGATCACGAGCTTTTCAACCCAAAAAGTTCAACACTGACTTTTGTTTCCTTTTAAATTACACAAGAGAAAATAAAAAACTACACTGCAACAAAAATAACCATTTGTGTTCATGTAGTTAGCAGCAGCTTTTTAAAAAATAATTATAATAATAATAATAAGGCAGATTCTTGCCTTTGTTATGCCATTAAAAACATTCTTGTTCCCTAGAGAGAAGTATTCTGGAAAAAGTTGAAAAAAAAATAATAATAACCCAACCAAAGCTTGCCTGCAAGTTCAAGTTTTGTAAAAAAATATATACATAATTTATTCTACAACATATGTGCCTTCTGTTCATACTTAGACATGTTTAGTGCTTTGTGTTTAGAGTTCATTCGCTGTCGTCCCTCCTCTGCGGACAGCTCTAAAACCAGCCCGGGTTTCTCAGGTCTGCTTGCCTTCACACCACTCTTCAACAGTACCGTTGTCTGAAAACTGTTCTGGGCCAACTTCTCAGGTCAACGTGCCTTTGACCGACAGATTTCTTTATTTTTTTGTGTTTTCCTTTCAACCAAAAGAGAGAGGAAGATTTTGTCAGTCATATTTCCGACTCCCGCCGTAGCGGCCGCGGCTCTAGAGGCACCCCTGCTTGGTTGTGGTGGTCCATGTCCGGGTGGGTGTCTGTGCTCATGCTCTCAGGCACCCCAGTGTCAATCTCCTCCTCCTCTTTGCTGGTGAGGGCCACCTCGTTCTCATAGCAAAAGGAGTTTGCATTAGAGAGGATGTATTTCTTTTCTGCTAAGTCTCTGGCACTACAGATGGGTGTGTTGGGCACTTCGTATGTTTTGTGGAACCTTGAGTAGTCCACTTTGTAGTAGTTTTTCTCTTCAAAGAGTACAGGCTCATAGCGGTGGCCCCAGAGGATTTCGTTTGCCAGATATGAGCTACGGCACTGGGTGGTCATGGCAGTAGCTTCCACCATGCCCTCTAATATTACTACAATTTCAAAGTCAGCATTGTCCATGTCTTGTTTGCTCAAGTCATACAAAGGACTGTCTTCATCTATTTCATGTACTATTGTAATTGGGGAGACCAGGAAGATGCGGTCTATCCCGCTGTCAAACCCTACGTTGATGTCTATTTGATCCAAGGGGATGTACTCCCCTTCCGATGTGATCCTGGATTTGAGGAGCTGTGCTCGCACGTGTGCCTCCACCAAGTGGCTTTTCCGCAGGTTTCCAACACGCCACATCAGGCACAGTTTTCCATCTCTCATGGCCACCACGGCATTGTGGCTGAAGATGAGAGTTTCGTTTCTCTTTTTTGGCTTAGCCATCTTTGCCATGACAGCACCAATGATGAAAGCATCAATGATGCAGCCTACTATAGACTGGAAAACCACCATGAAAACTGCGATGGGGCACTCGTCTGTGACACACCTGAAGCCATAGCCGATCGTGGTCTGGGTCTCAATGGAGAACAGAAAGGCTGCGGTGAAGCTGCTCACTTGAGAGACACAAGGTTTGTTATTTTCTTGATTCTCCAGATCACCGTGCAACAGCGCAATCAACCAAAACACACAGCCGAAAAAAAGCCAGGAGAGGATGAAAGTCAGGCAGAAGATAACTAGCATCCACCTCCAGCGGATGTCCACGCAAGTGGTGAAGATGTCTGCGAGGTACCGCTGTCCCTTCTCACCCACGTTAATAAACTGGACGTTGCAGTGGCCATCTTTTTTGACAAAGCGGCTCCTGCATTGCTGTCTGGTGTGTACCTTACTCTTTCCGTTCCCAAAGCCGTTGGCAACGGCCATGGTTGCCAGCTTCATGCCGTCCTCTTCCGAAGACACGATGCTGTAGCGGTTGGTTCGCACGCTGCCCATCACTACTGCTGTGGACTGAGGTGCTTCTGCTTTAGAAAACAGTCTAAGTTTCTGCAAAACCCTTTGGAGAAACAGTTTTGAAAGTTCTAGAGGAACACACACACACAGAAAAACCGGGGAGAGGCCGGAGTCCCCAAGAGCCCTTGGATCAACCAAGGACAGTCTTCTGGCATGCAGAGTGAGCTTAGCAAGTAACCGTCATAGAGAGGGCATGGTCTGCAAAAGAAAGAGAAATGTCGTATTAGATCTTGGAGGAAAAGAATAAGGAATCAAACCTGAAAGTATCAAGTAAAATGACTCCTGTGGACCTGCAGGAAGTTTCCTGATTCTTAGCGACAGCCGTTTCTGGAACGCACAACGTGTGCAGCGGCATTGACAGAAGCGACACCGTGACTACAAAGCTGGCATCACTCTTCCCGAGTGACAGCCCTGAAGCGGTCACGTCACGCAAGCCTCTAAGCAATACTCACTTTAAAGCTGGACATGCAAAGAATCTACTATTTACAACGGTGCTTTCTGTTTATTTTGAAACAAACAATTAGCGTTAACGTCCACCTGTTCAAACGCAAACACTGAGGCAGTTTTCAGTGAGATACAATGTGCCTCCTGCACTGCTTTACCTACGACAAACAAGGGAGTGTGCAAAAGGGAAGACGACGTGTACTGAGAAACGCAATAAACTCGGAAAATGCAAACATCAGTGATTTCCATGAACTTACATTGCATATAACTTTTTTTTTTTTTAATTAAGCTAAAAAAAGGCATTGTGTACGCTCTGCAGATGGCAGGAATAAGGGCTGCATTTGTTCCTCTTCAGCTCATAAACTGATTGAGATCCATGCGGTTTTTACCCTCGCATCAGGCTTCAGTTGTATGAAGCAAACTAAACCTTGTAACGACCCTCCTCTGGTCCTGCTAACGCAACTAGCCAAAGGCTGTGGTGGAGCAGGACCGGCCGGGCGTCTTCCTAACACCTTTGGTAGCAAGAACCAGCACCTTCCCCTCGGGAGCCCGACGCAGCCGGTTCCACCTCCAGCAGGTAACGGGTCTGAGTGTCCTCTGGGTCTTAAACATCAGCAACTAAGGCTCAGCAGAGAAGCTACAAAACCTTCCTTCCGAGGGTAGAAGCCACCAAACTTGTTTCAGGGAGGTCTGGCTTAGACCCAGGTTTAGCTTTTAATAAGTATGTCATCCATTAAGTCATGTACTGTATATCAGGAAATGTAATTGAAATACTGCAGGGGAGAAGAGATGCATTAATGCAACTGCTCCATCCTCACACGCGCCCTATGGAGGACATCAAACTAAAGCCCAGTGAGGAGGAAAGTCTGCTGTCCGTTTGTCACGGGAGAGGGGACTACCGTTTACAGTAGTGGGGGATTAAATCACGATGCTCTTCGTAAATCAATGTTATCAAAACTCATCCGAGTTTCTCCAAAACCCAACAAAAACTCGGTGGCCCATCCTCTGATACGTATCTGACAACAGCTGCAGAGAAGAGTCCATCTGCTTTCCCAAAAGCAGCCCCTAAAGCCCTGCAGAGGTGTTCCAAAAACTTGCGGGATCTCAAGCAGTTGCTCAGTCCTCCCACATCCCTCAACCACACCGCGAGGGCTTTAGGGCAGCAAACACTCATTGGGAGAAGAGCAGGTGACAAACAGACAACGCCGCGGTGCTGGCAGTTGCACGCAGGCTGGTTCTCCCTCTAGAATCTCGCCAGGGTTTACTTCTACCTTCTCTTTTTCCCTCACTTCTGTTTGTTGTGCAAGAATGCGTCCCAACGCCTACTTGCCGAGATTAGTCACCCATGACTTCAGCGGAGTACAAGACATTTTGGCAGCTCTTGGCGGGTTCGGTAATGCCCGGCTTTGAGTACGGCTCTCAGCAACTTAGGCTCACGGGACAGTCTAGCTACCTTATCTGAATGCCTTGCAGAGGCTGTGCAAGGATTCACTTTTTCCCCCCTCACACCTTTCTAATCATGGGGTTTCTCATTCCTGTCAGGACAGCATTCTCAAAAATACAAAGGAATTCTTTTAATTTTCACTTAAATTATTTTTTTGGGCTGAGAAATACTTGTACTAGAAACCTGAACAGAGGGGAAAAGTGAGATTGCTGTTAACACATTCCACACAAAAAACTTCTTGAAAAACCATTGCATTGATCTGCAAATCGATCACTTTTATAAACCGCATCCTATAATCACAGTCATGTTTGACTTCCACATTCAGCGTCTGTTTTGCTCCCCAAGCTGATGGAAACACACAGCCTAGGAAACTGTTTATTTTGAAAGCTTTTCTTTTTTTTGTTTTTTTTCTTTTTCCCCCTGCATTACCTCTTGGATTTTATAGGAAAATTTGTGGTGGAGGGAAAGACAAGCTGTAAAGTCTCAAGTGCCTGAATATGCAGCTCCCCTCACAAAAGCCTTGACCTGAGGGCGTTTGTCTGAAACCCACGAATCTCTGAAATCCTAATGCCAGCTTCCTGTGGCGAGCTGAATGCTTTTAGAAGTTTGGGACCCAAATCAGGTACCACACACTGTGAAATTCCTACTCGGAATGGCTGAGCACCTTCTGCCTCCTGCACCTCACACAGGGTTTCTGCTCCACAGCCGCACGCTGTCACGCTCTGCCCTGGGGACCGAACCTGCACCAGTCTGCCTCTAACAACCCCTAAACTCGGGGTGCCTGGGGGCACCCTGTGCCGCCTTTACAGACTGCTTGAAGTTGATACAACAACGCTCTGGCACGCTCCACCGCGCCATCGCTGTCTTCTTTGGTAGCACAACTTGCCTCTCTTCCTCGGGAGCGCTGGGAGTGGGGAGGATGCCGGGATGGGAGCACGGCCAGTGCTGTGCGCAGGGACCGGCCGGCACAACGCAGCGTGAAACGCCCGGCAGATCCGCTACCCGACCGGTGCTCACCGGGACCTGCGCAATGAGTTTCAGTGGAGGTTCCCCCAAAATCCCAGAAACAATCAAACTATGACGGAAATCTAATCATACTTTTTTTTTTTTTGCTAATCCACCTGCTGCCCAAAGGCAAAACAAGTTTGCTGCCCCCGCACCCCCCATTATCAGTTGTTGGTGGCACCAACGATGCCAAGCTAGCGTGGCACCAGCCCTGCAATCCTCGCCAGACAAAGCAGCCAACCCAGAACCCGCAAACCGACCCAAATCTTTGTATAATTGGGCCCAACGCGCTGCAGCCAAACACACACACACAGAGCTGTAAATCCAATCATCACTAGGTGTGTCGTTATTATTAATTCAGGCTCCCTTTCCTCCTGGAAGAGCACACAAGACTAGAGCAATGCAGCTTGTAATTACCAGCACCAGCACCGACGCAGCATTACCGGGGAGGGATGAGCTGGGATGTGATGGGAGAGCCCCAGGCTTGCTCTGCTGTAAGGAGATGCTTGGAGGAGCCGAGAAAAAGGGGGCTGTGCTGCATCTACAGTGTTTCTGAACTGATGTTTGTGCAAATGCGTATCTAAACTCCGCCACGGACAGCTCGAAGGGGAATTTGTGCGGAAGGTTTGACGCCGAGCAAAAAAAAACCCTGAAGTACAAGAAGAGCGGGAGGGGTAACGAGAGCAGCACTAATGAGCAGTTGGAGCAGTTATTCCCAGGCTGACGCCACACAGCCCTGAGAGCGAGCCGGGCACATGTTGCTAAGAGAGCCCTAGCACTACCTGAGCCCAGCGCCTTCCCCTGCTGCCCTGGGTAAACAGAACAAAGGAGCTACTGGTCCCAGCGAAGCCTCTTCCCACAGCCCCCCGCTCCCTTGCTGCTGGGTCCAGCCAACCCCCGTAACCTTCCTCCAGACCCCTGCGTTACTTAAAAGTCATTCCCCGGGGGCTTCTGCGCTGGTTTGGGTAGGAGTCAAGTTGCACAAGAGCGGTGAGCTGCCTGCAGGGAAAAGGATCTGTCCTCTGCGATCAGGAAAAAAAAAAATAGAAATAGGGGAAAAGAAATAA